GCAGCAGCAGCAGCAGACACAGCAGCAGCAACAGCAGCAGACAAAGGAGCAGCAGCAGCAGCAGGAGAAGCAGCAGCAAGAAGCAACAATGGGGCTACAGCCAGAAGCAGCCGATTCAGGAAAGGGCCTTCTTGAGGCCCCCTCAACTGCTGCTGCTGCTGCTGCTGCTGCATCCACAGCAGCAGCAGCAGCAACCGCAGACACAACAACAGCAGCAGCGGCAGCAGCGAGCTGCGATGACAGCCTAGAAGAGTTTATAATGAAGGGTAGAGACTTAAGCAATCCAGCAGATATGCAGCAAGCAAGAAAGGAGCAGAGGCAGCTGCAGCAAGCCCTTCATCAACTCGAAGAAAAGGCTACGTTGCTGCAGCAGCAGCAGCAAAAGATACGCACGGAGCAGCAGCAGCAGCAGCAGCAGCATGAACTCAAGCTGCACAAGCTGCAGCAAAAGACAAAGAAAAGATTGCTTAAGGAGACACTAAAAGAAGAAAGGAGACGCACACAAATCTACGCCCAGCTCGGCATACAGCCGCAGCCAGCAGCAAATGCTGTAGCCGTTGCAGCAGCAGCAGCAGCAGCAGCAGCAGCAACAGCAGCAACAACTCCTGATTCTGGGGCTGTTGCAGCAGCAAACCCTCTTCGGTATCTCTTTGCAAGTCTACTGGCCTCAACCCAGCAACAGCAGCAGCAGCAAGAGCAGCAGCAACGGAGACAGCAGCACCAGCCACAGCAGCAGCAGCAGCATCAACAACAGCGGGAGCAGCAACAGCAACAGCAGCAGCAGCAAGATCAGCAGCAACGGGAACAGCAAAATCAGCCACAGCAGCAGCAGCAACAGCAGCAAACAGACACCGATAAGGTTTTTTCAGGTGTATCGATGGCTGCTGCAGCGCATGGCAGCAAGGAGACAACTCTGCAGCAGCAGCAGCAGCGACAACAACAGGAGTTATATGAGGGAGCATTCGGAAGCAGCAGCAAACTCAGTGCCGCTGCTGCTGCTGCTGCTGCTCCCATTGCTGCTTCTGCTGCTGCAGAGGGCCTTAGGTTAGTGAAGACGCATCGCTGCTGTCACGTTTCTTCTCAGAAGAGACCTACCTGCTGCTGCTGCTGCTGCTGCTGCTGCTGCGACTACTGTTGCTGATGCTGCTGCGACTGTTGCTGCTGCAGTTAGAATTTCACCAGCATTCTCTGCTGCTGTTGCTGCTGCAGCTCTACTGGGAATGAGGCTACTGATCGTGCTGCTATTGCCGTTGCTGCTGCTGTTGCTTCTGCTGCTGCTGCTGCTGCTGCTGCTGCTTCTGCTGCTGCTGTTGCAGTTTTCTGTCTCGTTCTCGCGAGCAGCAGGAGCAGTATTTGATGAGTACAGAGGAATTCATTCAAAGGCGCCATGCAGTGCGGCTTGAAGAAAGAAGGGAGTGGGCTGCTGCTGCTGCTGCTGCTGCTGCTGCTGCTGCTGCTGCTGCTGCTGCTGCTGCTGCTGCTGCTTCTGCTGCTGCTAATGTTAGTGCTGCTGCTTCTGCTGCCAATGTTGATGCTGGCGCTGGTGCCGCTGCTGCTGCCCGTACGGCTCATGCTCCTGCTACTGCTGCTGTTGGTGCTGCTGCTGCTGATGATGGCTGCTGCTGCTGCTGCTGGTGACTGTTGCTGCTGCTGTTTGTTTATTAGTTTATTTGTTTGTTTACATATTAATATATTTATTTATCTGTTTTTATTTCGTTGTATATTTATTTGTTTGTTTGTGTACATGCAAATAAGTATATGTATATGTAGGTATATATATATTATAAATAAAAAATAAATAAATATATATATATATATTTATTTATTTATTTATTATTTATTTATTTACTTGCAGAAGGGAGCAGCGATGCATGGAGGCTGAGGAGAAGAGAAGCCGCGAGGTGTACATACAGCAGCAGCAAATGATGTATGAATGGCAGCGTATGCAGCAAGAGGAGACCTTAGCGCAGCAGCTGCAGCAGCAGCAGCGGCAGCAACAGCAGCAGCAGCTGCTGCTGCAGCGCTGTCTCCGTCTGGTGTCTCTCTTGGAGGAGTGGGACATCAAAGCAAGAGTGCTGCAGCAGCAGCAGGTTTTTGCTGCTTTGCTGCTTGAAGCACGAGCTGCTGCTGCGCTGCAGCAGCAGCAGAAGCAGCAGCAAGCTGCTGTTGTGCTGCAGCAGGCTTGGCGGCGGTACATGAAGCAGCAGCAGCAGAGACAGCAGAGGAGAGAAGCTGCAGCAGAAAAGATAGGGTTTGCTGCTGCATCCATCATGCGTCGCTGCTGCAGCGAGCAGCAGCAGTTGGTGCTGCTGCTGCTGCAGCAACACGCAGCAGCAAAGCAGCAGGAGGAGTGGTGCGCAGCAACAAAGCTTGCTGCAGCGTGGAGAGGCTACGCTGCTAGAAGGGCCTTTAAGCAGCAGCGGCTGCTGCTGCTGCTGCTGCTGCCACAGAATGAGGTGTACAGACACCGCATGCTGCTGCTGCAAGCAGCATGGAGAGGAGCAGCAGCAAGACAGCAGCTTCGAAGGCAGGGTTTGCTGCTGCTGTGCGATAAGCACAAACATCTGCAAGCAACAAAAATACAGGTAGAGACAAATAAATAAACTCACAAGTAAAGCACCAGCTGTCTCTGCATGCACCAGCAGCAGAAACAGCAACAGCAACAGCAGCAACGGCAGCAGCAACAGCAGCAGCAGCAACAGCAACAGCAACCGCAGCAGCAACAGCAGCCAGACCCTCCTTGCTCTCTTGCTGCTGTCTCGTCTGTAAATGCATATTTTGCTGTCTCTAAACCTGCTGCTGTCTGCTGTCTCTCTTGCTGCATTCGGCTGTCTCCTTGCGGTTTTCACAAGGAGAGCAGCAAACAGATAAAGGAGAGAGAGGGCTGTCTCTGTCTCTGTCTCTGTCTCTCTCTCTCTCTCTCTCTCTCTCTCTCTCTCTCTCTCT